CCAAAAAGTTGGGTATATGTCCTTGGAGACCATCCATCAACCTTCAAGCCGAGTCTTTTTTGGTAAAAGGGTGTTTACATCCGTTTTCAGGGCTTTGAATCTCCCAACTCATGGCCCTTCAAACCGATTTCCCTGGTAGGGTGTTTACCCCACCCGTTGTGTTTGAAGCTCCCAACTCATGGCTACGTTGCCCCAAGGAGCCGGGGCCATGAGTTACATGGGCGGCCGATGTGTTTGCCTTGATTTTTTCTTTGAACCAATCCCAACGGTTTCCAGGGCGGGAACAAACAGTAAACCTGTCCGGATGGACCATTGTCAAAATGAGAAGGCCTCCCATTGCAGATCCAATATTTTTTGGTTGTTGTTTGTTGTTTGTTGTTTGGTTGCTTGGTTGTTGGTTCTTGGTTGTTCCTGTCGTTTTTGGTGGCGCTTGTGGAAATAAGTTGCTGGGTGTTGTTTGTTCGTTGGTCGTTGGTTGCTGATGCTTGGTTCTTGGTTCTTGGTCTTGGTGCTTCTGGTGAGTTGCTGCCAGCTAGGTAAACCCTTCAGTTGGCCGCCCCACCCTGGCAGGCACCATGGACAGTGTCCGCGCGGGGCCCTTTGGCCAGCTCTTCCGGCCCGACAACTTCGTCTTCGGGCAGACTGGGGCTGGGCACCTCGGTGATTTCGGTTTGGTTTCATGTTTTACATCTTCAGATGAGCCACTCGCTCAAAACCCGGGTAGATGAAGGTTACTAAGGGACAATCCCAACCATAAATAGCTTCGGATATCTGCCTTCTTAATTATTTACATGGTTCTGGGTCCACCATTTTAATACCGGGTTTTGATTATGACTCAGATGTATGTTGTTGCTTTGTTGTGTGTGTTTGGTGTACATGGCATATGTGTTTGGTTTGGCTTTGCATGTTTCAAATATTGGTGTCACATGTTTTACATCTTCAGGGTTGCATGGGATCTTTGGGTGTATAGGGGTATCCGTTTTTGACATGCTCTAATGTTTGTTGTTTTGAGGGCATGTTGTTTTCATTGTCTGGCATGTGTTGCTGTTTATTTTTTGGGGAACCTTTCTTGGCTGGCCTTCAATGAAAGCCTGGGAAGCGATACATGCTACGTTGTGTGTTCTTTGTTTGTTTATATTTGGGGACACAGCCGCACACGCTTTTGTTGCCTTTTGTGTTTTGTTTTGCTCAAATCAGTGCAATGACTGAGGCCAAGCGCTCCTTTGTTGAAACTTACAGTTTATGTGTTATAAATATATATATATATATTGCTCTTGCTTGCACGCTTTCTTTGGGAACTCACCGTGCGCCACTTCTTCAGGAACAACTGGGCCAAGGGCCACTACACGGAGGGTGCCGAGTTAATCGACTCGGTGCTTGAAGCTTGCCTGAAGCAGATCTTGTAACATCTTTTCCGTCAAATCATGACCAGCTCTGTTGGCGATAACTTGAGCTCACCCATGCTGAGGTTTGCCTGTTTCAGCTGATTTCCATTATGCGAATGATACGGTTTGGCGAGATCTTTAAATTGTTGGGCTCTCATCATGTCATAGTGATGCGCTTAGTTGTCCACACTCGATCTGTTCGTCCGTTTGGTTCCGGTGAGTGACAGTGCACAATGGTCAAACCTTAATGTCCTTGTTCTGGGTCGTCCTCTGTGCAGGTGAGTATGTCATCACGCGGTGATGCTACGTAAGTACGTGGTCACGCCATGATGATGCCATGATGTTGTTCTGCAATCCTGTGATTTGTCCATGTCGTCATCATGTAGCCTTGCCTCAAGGTATCTTGTCATCGCGCTGTCCGTTCATCGGTGCATTGTGCTATCCTGTCATGTTGTCTTTTGGCATCTTGTACTGATTTCCTCTTGTCAGCAAGTATTGCAATCTGGTAATCCTGTAATTCTGCCATCTCTTTTCATTTTGTCATGCCATTCTGCAACTTTGTCATGCGTTCCTGTCCCCTTCAAATTATCACATTCCTTGCTTTCCTGAACCAATTGAACCGGACATTGGCTTTCCTCAAAATCACGGACCTGGTAGGGGCAGATCCGCCAAATCAACCAATCCCGAAATGCCTACCACAAGACACACCTTTTGCGCCGTTTATGGTTTCTCAGGGGTGAAAAGGGGAAGCCGAAACCGATAAGCCCAAACAATAAACTTCGGGTATCCTAGGGCACGTTTTGAGAAGCGCCCTTTTCAGGGCTTCTTCGCCAGGAACAAGGCGATCCACTCCAAAGAAAGGATCCACTTTCAAACTTTGTTGTTCAAGGGGTAAATAACAAAAAGCGCGCGTGCTCGGCGAAACATGACACCCCCGTGTTAGACCCGTTGCGCCCCCCCCCCATAGAGTCCAAGTACCTGGGATGTTCCTTTGTGCCAATTGAAAGCCGTATGGAACTCCAGTTGATCCCAGCGCAGCAAGCAACATCCTTGCCCCTCTAGATTTTACAGGGCTCTTCTCTAGGTTACCTGCCACGCCAGATGGAACCACTGCGGGTACTTGAGCATAGGTAAGCAAAAGTCCGAGGCTAGCTATCATGCCCAGATGACATTCTGGGTGTGTTGTCTTACCGGTTCAGTTTCCAAAGGATAAACAGTTCGCCGCTGGGTTTCTTTAGCATTCTAGTCTGACATGTTTTGCCAATCAACAAAGATGTCCGGCCAAGTCGTTTTGCCGCAAGCTTTGGCCTGTAAACCTCTCCTTGGTTTGGTAGAGTTCGGACCCACCAAATGTTCGAGAATGATATTGAATCTGATCAACCCCCAAAAAGGTATGGTTCCGGATCTGCTTTGTCTACTCTTCAGGTCACTAGTTGAAACTGATCTTTGGCAACCTGTATTTCGAGAGCTTCCTTCCAAGTCCCCCTGTAGCGCCCTTTTACCTTTTTTTTTTGGGAGGGTTCCCTACTAAAATAGACTACAGAATAAAATCGTGTACCCTTATTCTAACCTTTCAATTCTGTAGGACCTAGTTGTGTTTCTTCGGCCAAAAGCCGAGACGCCGAGCCGAGGACGTGGTGCGAAAGGAGGCGGAGGGCTGCGACTGCCTGCAGGGCTTTCAGCTCTGCCACTCCCTCGGGGGCGGCACTGGGGCGGGCATGGGCACGCTGCTGATCTCCAAGGCGCGGCTTCGCTTCGCTTCGGGCGGCGATGGAGTCGCGGGGTCGCGGGGCCGCGGCTTTTTTTTTTGTGTGTGTGTGTGTGTGTCTGTTTGGGGTCATGTGTTACCCCTTTTTTTTGGTGGGGGGGGGAGGTAAACAAACTGGGGGGGGGGGGGGCTTCTCTTTGTTTTGGAGGTCGGAATTGTGTGGACGGTTTCTGGGGGTTAAAGTCAGAAACTGGGGTGGTGTCCTTTTATCCTAGCACTTCGCGGGGGGAGTTTGATAGTGATTTCATGGGCCCAAAAGTCTTTTTACATAGGACTCGGACCCCAAAACACCTGAAAAGGGTACCAACTCCAAAGATCACCAAAAGGAGCTCCGAATTCCATTTGGGTGTGTCTCCAACTAGACCCCACCAACATTGTGGTTTCCCTTTGGTCTTCTCGCTGGTGCTATTGAATCAAGAAGATGGGTTTGTTGCTGCATGCTTTCAAGCACGTCGTGTGTCGTCCGGGGGACGCAAGCAGTATGCCCACCCAAGTGCTTCCAGTGATTTGGCACGATGGGATCCCGTAAAAGGGGATTCCACGAGGAACTTGAGGTATACAGCTATGAATCTATGAACCCTAAAGGAAAGCCTTGTTTACGATGCCCTTTTTGTGGCTGTCAGTTTTGAATAGTTTTGCAGGAAGCCAAAGGAGAAGCTAGGCAGCATAAGTTCTGGCGGTTTGGGCTCCTTGTGGTTCGCAGGGGATTGGCACTGGGAATGCATTCTAGGTGCGGTTTCATGGTGTCCAGCAACCCCACACCCCTTATCTCACTGGGGTTCATTGGAACACCCCCTAGATTTCGCACCAGCGGTTTTCCACCTGCCACCACCTAGCCACTGGTTTCTCACTTCCTGAGCGCCTTGACTTTAGTCACTGTTCGGAAAGATGACTTTAGAGTGGCAAGTAAAAGTTCACAGATTTGTTCGCGCCAATCCTCTCAACTGTGAGGAAGGGTTTGGGGGTACTGGAAGCCATCAATCAGATGCAGATCTTTGCTCGCTGCCCAGGTCCGTGAGGAATACCCGGATCGTCGCCAGACTGCAAGCAAGCGCAAAGCGTGTTTCTGGAGTTCAGAGGGCTTTAAGCCATGCGGCGTGGTTTCCGTGGTGAGTTGTCACTATGTCAGTTGCAACCATTTGTGCAATGGTGAAATCCGCCGGGTCCTTTACTTGGTAGCGTTGGGATGGTCATCCACCTGGTGGTAAGAATCCTTGATAACTATTAGCATGATTCCATTGAAAGAAACACAATAATCATATAACCCACATCAAGACTTTTGACCATGTCACATCTGTGGTTTGTTTGTTGAAGCCCGGGGGATTGTACTGTGTTTGTTGTAGCAAACACAAGCCAGCGCATGGGAGTTCTCATCCGCAGTGCAATCTTGCATGTATTACGAGGAGCGGCCTAGACAAGGTTGACACCGTGCAGACTGCTGACTAGCCTTTGCCTAAAAGGAAGCCAAAAGGATACCATCATTTTTGGGCCCCCCATTGCGATACATGAGGCCCCACATACCTCTAAAGCAAGCTAGTTTGGGATTCTGAGGCATTATGGAGACGTTCTCGGTGATTCCATCTCCGAAAGTGTCGGACACCGTGGTTGAGCCCTACAATGCAGTTTTGAGCTTCCATCAATTGGTTGAGAACTCTGACGAGTCCTTCTTGCTGGACAACGAAGCATTGCGAATCTGCCAGACTTAGCTAACCTTTTTGACCTAAAGGATCTTTTTGGATTGCCTTCAGTTTCTCTGTCGAGCAAACAGCGTTGTGCAGGGGGCCGAAGTTTGACGCAGGTACGACATTTGCTTCCGCACATTGAAGCTGACAACACCGACCTACGGCGACCTGAACCACTTGGTCTCCGCAGCAATGTCTGGAGTTACTTGTTGTTTGCGCTTCCCGGGGCAGCTGAATTGCGACCTGCGCAAGATCGCGGTGAACCTTGTGCCCTTCCCCCGGCTGCACTTCTTCATGACAGGCTTCGCCCCGCTGACCTCTCGCGGTTCGCAGCAGTATCGAGCCCTCACCGTGCCGGAGTTGACCCAGCAGATGTTCCTTGACAATCAGTCGCAAGCCATGCTTGTCTTTCAAGTCGCAAGCAGGGATTGTCTCTAGAATAGGGGACACGCGAAAGTGGTGGGTTTCGTCTGATTTCCCTTCAATCCAACTCAAGAAAGGTACCCCAACACAAGGATGCACCCTCCTGTTGAGATGCAGTCGGCCTCTCTTGTGAGTGGCCGACCAGGTTCGACGCTAAGAACATGATGTGCGCAGCCGATCCCCGCCATGGTCGCTACTTGACCGCGGCAGCCTTGTTCCGCGGCCGAATGTCTACAAAGGAGGTCGATGAGCAGATGCTTAACGTTCAGAACAAGAACTCATCGTGCCCTGAACCAAATCAGTCTGCTTTCCCAGTGCTTCCAGGCAAGCCAGTCTGGGAGGTAACAAGGGGAAACCATCCAGTAAATCCTACAAGGAAGCAATTCTGGTTACCCACGTTTAGTGATAGCTAGAAGCTAGATATTGCTGTCAAGAGCTGCAGCCATTTTCAAGTCTGAGTGTGCAGAAAGTTACTTCAAGCTTCCCAGCGCCTGCTAGATATTCTTCATATTTTCATCCAGCAGCAAGTGAGCAAGCCAGAATTGGTCTAAGTTATTCTTACGCGCAGACTTTGGTTTTGCTTTCTGGTTGTTGGATGTTGTGCCACAAGTTTCCGTTTGCCCGCGTATACGCGGCATGTACAGGGGAGACGGTAGACTACAACATGCCGCCTTTCCCGCTTTGCTGTCCCGGCTTCTTTGCTTGCCCAAGTCGTTTCGCCCCCAAGCAAGTTCGACTGTGACAGGTGGCTACGAGTGTTAGAGTCGGAAGCTGCTGAAAAGCGATTGGTGGTTGCACAATTCCCCATGTAGGGCTCAGAAATACACCACGGCGAATCGCCCTGCAGGTTGTAGTTCTCGTTTCCATTTGACATTTTGCCATGTTGGATACCCGTTTTTTCACCCCACGGTCAAATGCTCCACTCGGGGCGCCGAATCGAAGTTTGAGATCCAGGTACTTTGTGAACCATCAGCCATGACAATCCAATCCCCCAAAACAGGCCCAAACAACAAACCCCCGAATTGGGGTTGCCGGATTTTTGCCTCGCCTGCTTTTTTTTGCGAGCTACTTTGTGGAGTGGATCTTAAGTTGTTCTTTCTCTCAAGTTCTTGTGCTGCCTTTTTTCCCGTCCGTTCGCCACCACTTTTTGAGCCTTGCCGCGTTTTTGCGGCTTTTGTGTGTGTGTGACAGGTACTATTCAACCAGTACACCGTCAGAAAACCGGCGGTTTGAGTAATTGGTTCCATTTACCAGGGTTCCGTTTTGGGGTTACCCTATTTTTGTCCCACAGCCGGATGTTTGCCTCCGCGGCGTTTTTTTTTTTTTTTTTTTGCGAGGTACTTCGTGGAGTGGATCTTAAGTTGTTCTTTCTCCCAAGTGGTTGTGCTGCCTTTCTTCCCGTCAGCCAACAATCTAAGCCTTGCCGCGTGTTTTGCGGCTTTTTTGTGTGACAGGTACTTTGTGGAGTGGATCCCCAACAACATCAAGGCCTCGGTCTGCGACATCCCCCCGAAGGGCCTGAAGATGGCGGTGGCCTTTGCGGGTAACTCCACGGCCATCCAGGAGAAGCATCCGGACGCATCCGTTACGTCAACAAAAGCCGGGGGAGCCCAGGAAGAAGTGGCTCCCTGTTGCTTTGTTTTTTTCCGGGGAGAGAAAAACAAAAGCCTTGAAAAGGTAGCCTCAAAAGTAAAGCCCATATAGTTGGGAGTGGACTAAAGATGAACAGAGTTGTAAAACCTTACTTTCTGTGTACAGATGCTGGCCAAGATACGCAAGATGGAATCGAGTGCATGTTTCCTTCGCGGGTGCTGAGTGCTTTCATGTGCCACTATAGACTATAGCTATCCAGTTCCGCAGGAGATGTTCAAGCGCGTGGCGGAGTACTTCACCGCCATGTTCCGGCGCAAGGCCTTCTTGCACTGGTACACCGGTGAGGGCATGGACGAGATGGAGTTTACTGAGGCGGAGTCCAACATGAACGACCTGGTCTCCGAGTACCAGCAGTACCAGGATGCTACGGCAGAGGAGGAAGGCGAGTTTGATGAAGAGGAAGGTGAGTGTCTCGGATGTGGTCGGTAAGATTTGTTCTTGTTTGTTTCTGTTTGTGGCAAGCGATCCCAGAGTAACTTGTTTGTTTTCTGACCGGCAAACGTTGCTGCAGGTATGATGGCTGAAATGTCCATGCAGCTCACCCCTCGCCCGCGTGTTGATCGACATAGCGGCGAATTCAACCACTTGAAACGAGGGTTGAGAGCATGGTTGGTGTGTCGATTCAATCTACAGCCCCTTGTTGTTCACAAAAGAAGGGACTTGTTGATCAGGCACCCCTTCATTGGTGGAGGGTACCCCCCAAACGTAACCACCGAACCACCAAGAGAGGGGAAGCTGAGACTTGTTGCAAAGGTGGTGCTCGCATGCGGTTCAACCGTGCTTCAACCCTTGAGATTCGACTGGAGCTGAAAAAGGCGAATCCCGTGCGGATCCTTGAGAAAAGTGGAACCCACAAAACTGATTTCAAGTTGGCATTTCCAGGTAACGGTTTTGGAGGTGAGGTAGCTGCTTGTATAGCATCCATCTCCAATCCCTGTACCCCCTGTGTTTGAAAATGCCAACTTGAAAATCTCAGTATGGGTGTTTCGTTTTTTGTAGGGGCCCTTCAAATGGCGGTTTTCCTTTGGTTTACCTTTAAAACCCACCGAAAAGGGGCACCACTAAAGAAAGGTCACACCCACATGTCATTCCATCGGAACATCTTGGTCTTAGGGCCCCCGCAGAACTTGGCTTTCTCGTTGCCGGGCCGCGCTTGGTAAATGGCCAGGGCATGAGAAGCCTTCCCAAGCTTATTCCCCAACCTGCAAAGACAAAGCGGGAGGAATTGCAAAGGCTTTTCTTTCTAGTTTCTTGTTTGCCGTGGGAAAGGTATCGCTGCCCGTCCGCGGTGAGAAGAAAACAACAAGCGTGATCCGGAGCCCTGGCAATACTCCATCGATACTGCTTAATACTAAATCAATAGAAACTGTTTATACATGCATATATACACCGTATGTTGTGTGTTTGTTTATATGGGCATGTACTTTCTTTTTTTTGTACTTTCCTCTTTCTGTTGTAGCTTAATGGGCCATTACCCAACACGGTATTTGGCTCAAGCTGTTCGTTCCGGCCAACGTTCCCTGCCACTTCGCGGCCGCGGTCTCGCTCCGGAACGGTGCTGGCCGTGTTCTGGCTGGGATGTTGGCCAAACACCGCTTAAGAAATTAGTCTGGGTGAATTATAAGGACCTCTCACGACCGAATTCCCCCCAAATGGCTGGTTTATGTGGGGAGTAGCCCCCCAACCACTTTATTTCAGGTTGGTGAAATATTATGAATCACCCAGATTTATACTCTGACAACTGGCAATCGGCGATTAAAAAAAAACACTTAATGTGACAAGAAGCAGGAACAAGGGCAGGAAACAAAGAAGAACAAAGGCAGGAACAGGCAAAGGAATAGGCAGAAAAAGTCTTTAAAAGGGAACGGACCAGGCAGGAAGAAGGAAAGGAAAGGGCATGAAAAGGAAAGGACCAGGCAGGAAGAAGGAAACGACAAGACATGAAAAGGATAGGAACAGGAGACAGGAAAGGACAAGGCATGAAAAGGAAATGAATAGGCAAGCAAAAAGGGAAGAACAAGGCAGAAAGGGAAATGAAAAGGCAGGAAAAAGGATAGGAAAAGGCAGAGATTAGCGCCATAGATCAGCGACTAGAACTCCGTACAATTTCCGCCCAATTCCCGCTGAATGCCCGCATAATTCCCGCGTATTTTTTTCCGAGTTGATGCATATTTCCCGCCCGCATAGTGTTCGCTTTATCCTCGCTTAGTCCGCTCAGTTCCCGAGTAGTTCCACGTAATTCCCGTACAATTCCCGCACAGTTTCCGCACAGTTCCGCGTGATTTTTTGCGCGATTTTGCTCCAAAAGGGTACCTTCAGGCCCACTAACATGGAACATCATGGAACCTGTCTGAGGGCTGCAAGACGATATTCCTTTAAAAGGGACCCTTTGATCGGTTGGACAGGAGGGTATCCTCAACGAAAGATGCCCCTGAACCCTCAAACTACCCAACAAAAGAAACAACACCTCATACTTTGGTTATAACAACCTAGAACGAGAAGAAACAACAACCCCCAAAACCTTTTCTTGGTGGCTCCCAGCCATCCCCTTTGCTTTTTAGCCTGTTAGTGTTTAGCGGTAGTTTCCATTCAACCCACTACAAGTTATTCACTTTTAGCGGGGGATCTGAGGGCAGCCCAGTGTTTTAATAACGTTGGTGCTATGTCAGTGGACAGGAGGGTATCCTCAAAGAAAGATTCCTTGAACCCAACTACCCCGAAAAAACAACAACAGCTCGTAATTTGGGGCAATAGCTTTTGCACGGATACTTTGAGGGTCCCAGCACCATGCCCAAGCTCAGTGCAGCTCGAGGCCCTGTCGCTGTCCGTGCTCCGCGCCAGCTTTCTCAGATGGCTCGGCCCGGCGCGGAACCGGGAAGCCGACAGCTCGAACTCGTTCAGTCGAAAGACGTGTGGCTGTGGGTCCAAACCAATGGGATCCCATTTTTGGGGAAGGTGCACCACGCATTTTAGTCTATAGTGGGGACTGGGATGTTCACAGGGGGTACGATTTGGATTTTGACCCATGGCCGTGTGTTTTCAGGATACGTCTGAGATTGATCTTGGGGAGGGTGGGGTCACTTTCGATTTCTGTTTGGTGCATGAAGTCTTTATGGCGCATGCCAGCTGTGCTTTCGTGCGTCGGTCTTCCATGGCCGATTCATATCGATTTGCGGCATGTTGGGGGGATGGGCTCGATGGTGCTCTATCACGGGGTTCATCCTTTTGACCATTTCTGAAACTGGTTTTGGTGGTTTCCCTTGAATCATGACTGTTGTACAGGTAGAATGATGGAGACATATTAGTTCGATTGGGCATTTGAGCCGCGCTCAAACGTACTTGTTAAACACGTAGATCCATTCCATTTCAGTTGAGCAGTTTGGCGTTATCCAAGTTTCAGCATTTTGCAAGGGATCGTTGAAGAGTATCATTTTTAAGAAGTCACTGATCGTTTTCCCTTCAATTTGCCAGAAACGCTGCAAACATGAGACGTCCTTCGAATTAGTAATTTGCTGACCCGTTCTGATTGACATGGTTTTGCACTTTCCTCAAGCACCCAAAGACAACTCCCCAGCTGGTGACGAGGAAACGCCCGCCCTGTTGCGCTCTGAGCTCTCCCTTTTCGGGATTTTTTTACTTGGAGTTTTTACTCCAGATTAAGCATCATGGTTCTGCCCCTCCACGCAAGTGGATCTGGTTGCCTGATCCCTGAGGCCCAAGCCCAGTGGTAGAAGGCCCGTTTAGGGGGCCCCGCGCAAATTTCCCCTGAGCGGCCAGCCAGGCGTGCGCATGATGGGGACTTCTGGTACAGTAAGGGGATTTTGTAGGCTGCAGCGGTTTCCCTAGGAGGATTTGGATTGGCCAATACTCCACGATGTGTTTGTCTGCTATGGCATCATGGCATCGCCAGGCTAGTTCCAAACTACAGGCACTAAGCATGTACCACGCCCCGCCAAACTGCTTTTGGCCATAGATTTGTGTTTCATTGTCATCCCACAATGGGATTGCTCCGAACCTACCCAAATAGACCAACCCTCAATGGGGTAGAGTTTCAAAGCGGTCCATACGGTCCAAAGAGGGAAGCTAAAAAGTTGATCCATCTTCTCGCTTTTTTGGGTTGGTTGGTCTGGTGAGGTGTGGAGGTTTGTGGAGGTTGGGTGGCGAGTCCGATTGGCCAAAAGTAACCAGAGCTTCAACTCCGAAGCTTCGCCAGGCCTATGCCACGGGCCCGAGGCCAAAGACATACGATGGGCTCGGTGAGTCAGACTTGGGGTTAATGGACCCTTCAGCTCGCACCCAAAGTTCCCGGACATTTTGCGAGGACGAGTTTGGTGGTTTTTGCTGGAAGGGCGGGTGGCTCGCTGGAACGGAAGCCAGAAGCAAACCACCCATGGGTGTTGGGGGCTCTATTTTTTAAACAAACCCGTATAAATATGGTATGGATGCATGCAAATGCGCCACTTGCACAAGAGGTTCTGTACAGCCTTATGTTCAAACCCCATAGCTGAAAGTGCCCTTTTGGGACCTTGAATTTTTCTTTTAGCGTCTGAGCCTCGTGGGCGTTCAGAAACTCAGGGTTTCATTTTGACTTTCGGTTGGTTTTTGGTCACACCCCCTAGACAACCCTCAACCACAGTTGCACCATGGATTCGGCTCTGAGCATCGTCTCCATTGTTTTTTTTCTTGGATGGGGTGAGGCGTGGAATTGGCCTTGGAAGACCTATGCCATACCTATGCCGTTTGACCTAGAGCTATATCTTTTGATCTTGAGTGTTTGCCCGTAAGTTGTCAGCGATGAAGTCCGTGCAGTGAAGACCTTGTTCGTGGGCTATACCGGTGGCTGGAAAGCCGTGTGGGAGCAAAGCGCAGCCACCGGCAACGGTGGGCAATCATAGCAAGTCATACCCTCCAAGCAATCAACGTGGAACCTGACGTTCGGGCGGTCCTGGTTTGAACCATTTTCCTTTCAAAGGGTTCGGGTCCCTGTCAGGTTCCATGTTAAAATAGGTGGGAGGCCTGGACCGTGAAAATGCCCTTATAGCCAAACATGTTTTGCCCCAAAATTGTGGTATGATTTCTCTATATTGTTGTGGGTAGTTTGAGGCCTCACTTGTGGAATTTCATGGGTGGGCATGAAGCCAGGGATTCGCTGTTGAATGAAACTTTGTTTACAGAGGTCGTTCCTTGAATCATTTCCTGCTCACAACCAGCAAGTTATGCATACCTGGACCCTCTTGTGGTACATAATTTTCGCCGCTTCATGAAACAGCGAAAAAAAAACAGCGCTTCGTGCCAAAATGGGCGGTTTCTTCCAGAATCGCCGTTTCATAAAAGCCACATGGAAAATCGCCGGTTCAAGCGCACACCCGCCTCTTGGTTTTGCCCTTCATCGCTGCTCTGGCTCCTACTTTGCCGGGTGGCGCAGCGGCTTTTGGCTGGCCTGGGCCTTGGCTCGATACCTCCGGTGAAGGGCTCGAGCTTTCACGAGATAGAGTTGCAACACCCGTTTGGACAGGAGCTTCTGATGGCATCGCCTGCTGGTTCTTGAAATCTTTCCAACTAGGTCCTCGTTTTGCTCACAGCTGTGTA